CCTTCCGAGGAGTGGCTGGTGGGTTTGAACCGCCAGCCTTCTGGTTAGCAGTCAAGTGCCTTAGCCACTATGCTACCAGAGACTGCCTCGGAAACCCAAGGAGGGGTCGCTATGAGTCGGGGCCGACTCGACGGCAAACAACAACAACAAATAAGACTCTAAAATCGGTGGCTACTCAGTCCAGGGAAGTAAAAATTGGTTCCTCCAATAAATGTATCCAGTGAGGATACATTAAAAACATTTTCAAAAAAACTATTAAAACTTCAAGAGTACCATCAATTTTTCAATTATCTACAGGGCAATCACCTACATCAGTTGTTTGATCAAAGTATACTAAAGAAATTAATGAGCATTTTTAAGCATTTTAAAATCCCAGGCTTGTTGCTTTGCACACTGCCCTGTTTCTCCCTTCGTTGTCTCACTAGGGTGCATACAAGGAATGTATACTTCAAATAATTAAGATAAAATAACCAGGGAAGCAAATCTGATGCAGGTAAAAACACTAATCCCAAGGATTAAAATTACCCATACCAGTACTCTCCGAGGTTAACTCGGTTGAAGCGGCACTATGGCATGCAACATCACAGAGAGAAAACTGACACATCCTAAGCACAGTTTTCTTAAATATCGCTTATTCCCACATCTTTTACATGTTTTTAATACATAACTACATTTAATTCAGGTAATTATAAAAAATTAAAATTCAGTCTCCTTTTCATTAAGACTTGTTACTCAATTGTAGTTTCTCTCAAATCCCTCCTTCGCTAAAAGAGATGCACCCCCCGACTTCGCACATTATATCAATATAAACTGCGAAAGATAAAGGGCTCTAATCTTTCCCGTCACCACCACTACTCCACCCCTCGCCATTAGACCCTGAAGTGGTTACAAAGGTAAACTAGTTTGCTCTTTAGGCACTAGTCTATTGCTGTCACCTTCCCAAACCCTTCCACACTCCAAGACGGCCGGCCACCAACTCCGCCTCGGATTAAGTCCAGGCCCGCCACCTGGCCCAGCCCCATCCAGGGACACCCAGCCCTCCCTCTCTTCTTCAGCCAGCCCTCCAGCCTCTGCCGCACCCTCCCTATAAAACACCCTCTTCCGACCCTGGCCCGGACGAAGCCCTTTCTTCCTCCAAACTCCATAAACCTCCACTCGCCCAGCCCTAGCTCCCTGACGGGCCCGATGTGCGATCGAGGGGAAAAGGCTGAGCGCCTGGGCAAGTCCAAACCTGGCTTGGCCCACGACGTCCCTAGCCAGGCCAAGAAGCCGTCCCCGCGGCCGGTGTACTGCTGGCCCTCGGAAGCTTCTGGACGAGCAGGGAACCAGAGGCCGGGTTGCGGGCAACGGGCCTACTTACCCGGAGCTGGCGAAGCTTAGGAGCTGGCGCGCCCCCCGGCTTGAGGAAAACGACACGGCCCAGGCGCGCGTCCTCACTCCGGGACCTCGTTCGGCAAAGTAGACCCGGGCGCTCACTGTAGTCGCCGCCGCCGCCGCCGCCGCTGCTGTTTCGCCTCCTTGGCCGCCATCTTGACTCAACCCCTCTCCCTCCCCCTAAACCAGGCGGCCGCGGCTTAGGCGGCTCCTGCGCCGGCTCCTCCTCCTTCCGGAGGGTAGGGAGACCAACTCCCTCCGCTGGGGGAGCTGGGCTCCTACCTCAAGCGAACTTTCTGGGTTGGAGAGCGCCTGGTCGCCTCACCTTTCCCCTCGGCCTAGAGGCGGCCTCCTCCACCCGACGTGGGCCAGGACCCAGAGTGGCTGGCATCGCGCATCTGGGCTGGCACGTCCACCACGCGCCCACACAGGCCCGTGCCCTAGGGGCCTTACCCCGGGCCTGGGAAAAGGAACGGCTTATCCCCAGACCTGTGCCCCTTCCGCGGCACGGCGGCATGGTGGCGCCCTCCTGAAGCCCGGGGTTGCAGGAAGGGAAGCCTAGTCCCCACATGGCTGGGAGTCGGGAGGACTGCACGTCGACCTACCTAGATGTTTGCTAGGGCTTTGGGAGTGATTCGCACCAAAACCTCCTTGACATGCCAAGCGAGGCCGATTTAATCTGAAGTAACTCGTAAAAGGAGCCTGTGACCCTTGGGACTATGAAGGTGCCGCTCTTCTACCGAAATGATTGGATGGTTCTTCGCAACAGCATATTTTTCCTTTACAAAAGCCACCACTCCGCATCCCAAAAATAAAATGGAAAAACCAAGTTGGTATTTTGGGCTGTTTGGAAATTTTTCGTCAGGGTAAAGGAAGACCAGTAACAGTTCGCTTTAAACTCATTGTACTGTAAGGAGCCCTGTTGCCTCAGTGGTTAAGAACTTGGGAGGGCTATAGTTGGAACCGATCTACTGCTTTATGGGATAAAAGACCAGGCGATCCGCTCCTATAAAGATTAAAAAAAAAAAAAAAAACTCACTGCTATGGAGTCAGATCTGACTCAGAGTGAACCCCTCCGTGGGTTTCCCAGGCGGAGTATCACTACGGAAGTAGATTGCCCAATCTGCCTTCCAATGAGTGGCCAGTGGTTTCAACCACCAGCCTTACTGGTTAGCAGTTAAGTGCATTAGGCACTACGCCACTAAAGCTCATCCCTTAAAAGATTACAGCGTATGAGGCTCTATGGGGCAGTTCTACTGTCATGTAGGATCACTGAGTTGGTATGCACTCGATGGTACACAATACTGTAAAATAGGAAAAGAGTGGATGGCATGCGGCTCAGTTCAGCTCTAAAACCGAGAAGACAAAAAGACTTCGTTAAATTATGCGAAAAAATGGAGAGAACTCAATGAAATGTTAGGAGCCTTCCGTGCTATACCACTGGGAGAGTCACAGGGCAAACCTGAGGTTTTCGCGAGCCTCTAGAGCTGGTCGGTGGGGCAGGTTTAACTGCGGAACTTAATTTCTCCGGGTGCAGTTTTCCGGCTCGAGTCTGGGTCGGCAGTAGCTATCCCTATTGCGCAAGCGCAGTGTCACTTACACAGCATGGAAGTAGTGGTGCTCTTGTGTTCTGCTTTAGCAGTCTTGGTATGGGGCTTTTGGGGGGCTTGGGACTCCTTGGAACGAATGAAGAGTCAGGAGCAAGCTGGCTGGCTGAGAGCCGAGAGCCGGACTCTTCTGGTCATTGCGCACCCCGATGATGAAGCCATGTTCTTTGCTCCCACAGTGCTAGGCTTGGCACGCCTGAGGCACCAGGTGTCCGTGCTCTGCTTCTCCACAGGTAAGAGGCAGTGGTCGGAACGCTGGGGGCTAGGGCTGTATGCGGTTTTAGGTGCTAACCGATCTCCTCACCTTCTCCCCGGCGGGTTTTCTAATGTAGGGAGCTAAGTGAGTGCACTGAAAGTCTCTTACTCCAGGCCTTCATGGAGAATCGGAGGCCGGGGCTTGTAGACAGGAGCGGGCGCAGGTGAGTTGGAAGGACTTTCGCAGTTTGTTTACTCCACTATCCGCTAGCAGTATTGAGCAGGATAAGAGAACTGCTCAAAATTACTTCCATTAGATACTTGCATTTCTGTTGAGAACTGCGACTGTACTAGTTATTTTGTGGAAGCTTTTTATCTGCAAAAGAAACAAAAGTAACTCTCTCAGAAGGCTGGCGGTTCAAACCCACCAGCTACTCCTTAGAAGGACGGTTGGGCAATCTACTTCCGTAGTGATACTGCCTCAGAAACCCAAGGAGGGGTCGCTATGAGTCGGTCCGACTTGACGGCCGGTAACAACAACATACAATACAATGTCGAAAATGTCTAATAATATCGTTAATATCACCCTCAAGTAAACTTTTGCTGAAGATAATTCAAAAATAGTTGTAGCAGCGTATTGCCAGGGAACTGCCATAAATTCAAGCAGGATTCAGAAGAAGGCATGGAACCAAAGGATCACATTGCTTATGTCAGATGAATCTTGGCTGAAAGCAGAGGATACCAGAAAGATGCTTGCCTTTGTTTTATTGACTATGCAGAGCCATTCTTCTTTATGGATCATAACAAATTATGGATAACATTGTTAGGAATGGAAATTCCAAAACACTTAATTGTGCTCATAAAGAGCCTGTACATACATAGAACAAGAGGCAGATGTTCAAACAGAATAAGGGGGTACTGCATGGTTTAAAATCAGAAAAGGTGTATGTCAGGATTGGATCCTTTCATTATACTTAATCTGTATGCTGAGAAAATAATCTGAGAAGCTGAACTACAAAGAAGAATGCAGCATCAGGATTGGAGGAAGACTCATTAAAGCCTGTGATATATAGATGACACAACCTTGCTTGCTGAAAGTGAAGAGGGTTTTATTATTATTATTATTATTATTGTGATTTGGGTGAAAACTTACAGAGCAAATTCACTTTCCATACAGCAGTTCACATACACTTTGTCTCATGACATTGACCACAATTTACCACAATACAACAGCTCCCCTCCCACTTCCTCCCAATAGTTACCTCTTCCCAGTGTCCATCCCTCCATGCACTCCTGCCCCCAACTGTCTCCCTGTGCATAAGCAGCCCTTCTTTCTCCCATGATTGTTCTCCCCAAGGAGTGTATCTGAAAGTGAAGAGGTTTTGAAGCACTTTTTAATGAAGATCAATGATGTCAGCTTTCAGTATGCATTATACCTCAACATAAAGAAAACAAATTTTCACAATTGGACTAGTATGCAACATCATGATAAATGTAGAAAAGATTGAAGTTGTTAAGCATTTCATTTTACTTGAATCCACATTCAATGCCAATAGAAGCGGCAGTCAAAGAATCAAATGACTTATGTGCTGCAAAAGACCTCTTTAAACTCTTTTATAAAGAGCAAAGATGTCACTTTGAAGACTGAGGTGTACCTGACCCAACTCATGGTATCTAAGGCATTTGACTGCTCACCAGAGGGATTGCGGTTCAAACCCACCAGCTGTTCCTTAGAAGAAAGGTTGGGTAATCAACTTCTGTAGTGATACCTCAGAAGGAAGGTTGGGCAATCAACTTCTGTAGTGATACCGCCTCAGAAATCCAAGGAGGGGTCGCTGTGAGTCGGATCCAACTCAACGGCAGTGAGTTTACTTTTGGTTTGCATATACATATAAGAGCTGGACAATGAATAAGGAAGATGTCAAAAGATGCCTTTGAATTGTGTTGGCAAAGAATATTAAATGTACTATGGACTGCTAGAAGAATGAACAAATCTGTCTTAAAAGAAATACAGCCAGAATGCTCCTTAGAAGTAAGATGGCCAGATTTCATCTCTTATACTTTGGTCATATTGTCAGAAGGGACCAGTCCCTGGAGAAAGATATCGTACTTGGTAGAGGGTCAGTGAAAAAGGGGAAGACTTTTAACAAGATGGATTGACACAGTGGCTTCAACAGTGGGCTCAAGCATAGCAACAATTATGAGGATGGTACAGGACTGGGTGGTGTTTCTGTTGTACATAGGGTCACTATGGGTCAGAACCAACTCAATGGTACCTGACAACAGTAATACATTAGACTCCATTTTGTATATTGTGCCTGCTCAATTCTTAACCTTTTACTTCTGATGATAGCAAAGACCTTTCTGTTGATTTTAAAAATGCATTTTGTGTGAAAAAGACTCATGTCTCGTATTGAAGAGGTAGACTCATAGATCATTAAACTAGAAAGTAATTTTAGAGGTATCCACTTCAACTCCCCCCAACTTTCAGTGAAGGGTCCTTTCAAGAACTAACTCTTTTCTTAAAGAAAAGATCACATTGCCAATGATTCTGGATTGTGATGATGACTACACAACTATATAAATGAAATAATTGAACTGTATACTTAAAATGAGTGAATTTTATGGTATGTAAGATTAAATCTCTTAAAGAAGCTCTGGTGGTGCAAAGCCTAAGGCATTTGACTGCTAACCAGAAGGCTGGTCATTCAAACCCACCAGCCACTCCACAGAAGGAAGATGGAGTGATGTACTTCTGTAAAGATTTGCTTCCTTGGCAACTCGATAGGGGTTGCTAAGAGTTGGAATCTACTTGATGTCAGTAGGTAATTTAAAAATTGCTCAGAACTTCCTTTCCCATTTCATTGTCTTTCCCGTAGTTTCTCTATACAGATTTTTCACAGAAATCACATTTTATACCCAAGGAGGGGTAGCTATGAGTCAGATCCGACTCAACGGCAGTATGTTTGGTTTTTTATTCAAGAAAATCCTGGGAGACTCAACCACACCAGTATCCCAAATAGTTTATTTATTCTTTATTTTCCCAACACATAGACCATACTCCTTAAGAATAGTTCTGGTAAATAGAGCTCCTTTATATACTTATAGATACATGCAACCAAAAAACCAAATTCACTGCTGTGAAGTCAGATCCAAGTCATAGAGACCCCTCCTTGGGTTTCCGAGGTGGTATCACTATAGAAGTAGATTTCCCAGTCTTCCTTCCGAGGACTGGCTGGTGGGTTTGAACTGCCAGCCTTCTAGTTAGCAGTCAACTGCTTTAGGCACTACTCCAGAAGAACTCCCAGTAAAGTCTTTTTATGTAGAGGTCTTCTCATTTGTGCTCAAACTTGATCTCCTTCTCCCCTGACTTTAGGCCACCAGAGGTAGGCAGGTACTCTTCAAGACGCCCTGGCTTCAGTTCCACCATGTCTCTCTGGATTCATGTTTACCTGTAGTTTTAGGCCTCCATATATAACTCTTACTTTCTTGCTAATTCAAACATAGAGTTTAAACATGTTTGCCTTTTTTTTTTTTTTTGAAGCATGTTTGCCTTTTATTTCAAATGTTTAGGTGTTCTATGCTAAGAGGGTTTATTCAGACATCTAATTTAATCTTATTTTCTAAAACAACTTATCACATTTTTAATATTTAGTATTGTATTTTAATCATGAATAATCTTTACAGGTTTTCTTTGTTGAGATGTATTAGGCTTAGCCTCAGAAATGCTGGTTTCTGGCTAACTATCCTTTCTGACCTTTGGGATTTTTAAAGAAATAGGATCTTAAGTATTAACTATATGAAGAATGGGATAAATTAGTAGTATTATAAATTATGAATTCTTCTTTAAGGGAGTTATAGAAACTTCAAAGCTGTGTTTATCTGTTCTGTCTTGCATTTTTATCTACATATAGAAAAAATACTTAGGTTCTTTAAGGTTTAAGTGAATATTATTTCCATATGATCATGCCAAGCAAAGAGTGCCTAGGCATCAAATGACTTAACTAAAAATATTATTGTTGTTGTTGTTATTTGCCGTGGAGTCGGACTCGATGCATAGCTACACCTTCTTGGATTTCCAAGGCAGTATCACTACAGAAGTAGATTGCCCAACCTTCCTTCTAAAAATAGTGCCTATTAATTCCTAAGAGCTGATACCCATGGTTTAACTGGTAGATAAGTCGTGTTTATAAAAATGTTACGCATTTCTGATTGTATGTTCACTTAATTTTATATATATATAATTAAGTTAGAATTTATATGCCAAATAACCTTCCTTATACACATCCCCTAGTTTGAACTACCAGAGTGTATAAGTTCTTATAAAGATATTTACATCTTAGTAAGTACTTAAGAAAGCTGTGTACTTTTGATCTTTTATTTACTTAATGAATTCAGAGATTTAAATGTAAAAATGGAGGAATTGATTGAACTGTGACAACTTTGAGGATTAAGGTGCATCTGACACAAGCCATAGTCTTTTCATTCATCTCATATGTGAGAGTAATCTGGATAATTTGTAAGGAAGACCAAATAATTGATGCTTTTGAATTATGAAGAATATTGAATATACCATGGAATGCCAGAAGAACAAACAAATCTGTCTTGGAAGATGTACAGCCAGGGGGATTCCAAGATGGCGGAATAGGGAGAAAGTCTGCACAGACCTTCTTCAACAAAGAAAAGGGGAACCAATTAACACAGACACAAAAGATAATCCTGGACCCCTGAGCCTTGAAGGGAAGGATATAGAAGTGGACTAAACCCCAACTAGC